ATATCGATCCACTCTTCTCTGAAAGACTTCGCCCTGTCAGTATTCAACCCAGACCCTACATCAGTTTCTATCTCCCAGGAGACCTCTACATCAGGGTTCCACAGCATGTCTTCCTTTTCGGAGAAGTTGAAGTTTTCCAAGGACGTCATCCTTCGTCCGACTTCTTCCCTTATGTCTCTTGGAGGAAGTACCAATTCACTATCCGTCGTTCCTAGTATGACATCCTCAAAGCCTGATGTGACAGAGGCAGTGCCTACTCCGTCTTCGTCTGCACTCACGTCATCTACTCTTGGCCTGGGCTTCCTGCAGGACTATCTTCCCAAATTTGTGGATACGCATGCGCCTGATGTCCTTGCTGCTGTCAATGCTGACATGCAAGATATCATCGATGCTCTCGATTCGCTCGTCCAAGCCATTTCTCGACAAGCTCAAGTCATGATTGCCCAAACTAATGCGCTGATCCAGTACTCGGCAGTGCAATTTGAGCAAAGAGCTCCGGAACTCGAGGCTATCATGGATGCTTTTAATGCCCGTAATGAGCATGCGCAGCGTCGTGCAAAGGAGCTCAAGGATAACGGGGCGAAATGGCTTCATGAAGCTGGGGAGGCTCTCATGAACCGTGCCTCGCGTGCCCGAGGGAAAGCCAAGGAGATCACGGAAGACATGGAGCAGATCTGGGCTGAGTCGAGGGAGAAATGGGAGATGTCCAAGATGCGTAGCGCACAGAGGCGCTCGGGGAGGGGGGTGAGGAGGGGTTGTAAGAAGGCGAAGAAGTGTGGTGCTCGTTCAAAGAAGTGCACTGGCGGGTGGTTAACACATGCTCACTACTATTGAAAGCATGATATGTTGCTGATTTCATTTACTCTATGGTATGTTGTATGACATGTACATTATGTATGAAGATTGAATATTGATGTATGAATTGAATAACGACTGGTCGTATTGGTTCATTGCATTGACATCTCTAAGCCAAAAGATGAACGACCAAGAAATCGGTCGTAGAAGGTTCTGCAGCTCAAGATCCTGGTTACTCCTATCATGGAACCCGTAGTCGTGCAGCTGTGTAACATGGCAACCTTCGGAGACTAACAGAGCCCCTCCGGAGCACAACCGAATTATGTGACTCAATATTTATCACGTGACATGATTTCATTCGCATATGGAACCCTTGGCGTTGTGCGGCAGGGTAAGACTTACTGTTATTATCTTCGAACTCGACTTTTTTGGTTTCTCTATAGCTACTCATCAATCTCTTGTAGCTTCTTGACACTCAATCAACCACTCAACCTGTCCGGCAATTATGCAAAATCATAATCTACCACCACGCGGCTATCCATATGTCACGATCCCCCCTGGAGCGCGTCCTCTACCCGACCCTAGCCCACTGCAGACATACCCACACGAATTTGACCATCAATCCGCAACTGGAGAACTCTTGAATCCATGGGATCACACACCTACAACCGGATATCCGAATGGCAGACCAGGTGAACTTCGATCACGCCCTCGCACTCAGAGTGCATACGAGCCCGTACCACCCACTTTCTCTTTTCCTGAACCGGAGATACATCGATTTGCTTCTCAAAGAACGACCCTTCACCCGCACTCACCTCGCCACCGTCCCTGCAAGTCCGATGATGGTCATGGTTCTCCGAGTCTACCTTCGAGCAGAGACCATATGGCTAGCGTTCCCTTTAGTCCACTAACACCCGACTCTGCTTTATCCGTGCAGTACCCTCCTGAGGAAGATGTACGTGTGTGAAACATAAATTCGACAATGACGTATGCTGATGACCTTCGTCAGTGGGAAGTACCAGTAAATCAGCTGACTCGGGAACTGTCTAATGTCTCGTGAGTATCATGATGCCTTGTTTAATGCGATAGTCATTGAAAAGACACAGCCTTTATTCTGAGGAGGGATTAAGACGATTTCAAGCCGGTCAATTAGCAGAGAAGGATGAAGAATGGCATCGGCTAGTTCCTCCTGAAGCTCAGGAAGCACTTGGAAAAAAGGAAGTCGAGCGGCAATCAGTGCTGTTCGAGCTGTTCAAGTCGGAAAGGGACTATGTAGAAGATCTCAAACTTGTCGCAGAGGTGATATCCACCGCTATACCATCAGATTCAGCTAACATTTTCCCCCGCAGGTTTTCATCGAGCCTTTACTATTCGCCAAGCCCCCTGTCATTGCTCCCGACAAGTTACATCCCTTTGTTCATGAAGTATTTTGGAATTTGGGTGATATCTCTGTGCACCACGAGCGCATGCTGGCTGCACTCTTTGAACGCCAATTGGATCAGCATCCGCTGGTACAGAGCGTGACTGACATTGTACTTGAAAGTGAGCCAACCAAAAAAATAGTCAACAGCTCACGTTCAACATCTTTTAGCATGCTTTCAGTTCCAATCAGATTACGAGTCCTACATCAAACACTATCCAATCGCAGAAGAGCGGCATCGAACTGAAGTCACTCGCAATAAAAGCTATCAAGCTTTCATGCAAAAGTGTTCTCAAGATCCTCGGGTGCGCAAGCGCGACATGATCACCTTCCTTTCCAGACCAGTGACTCGCCTCCCACGCCTTCATTTGATTCTTGAACACATTCAGAAGATCACAGAACCAGGCCATCCAGATCTTGAAGACCTGCCACTTCTCCTAAACATTTTGAGCGAATTCCTGAAGAGCACGCAACCTGGTATTGCAGCTGCAGAGAACAGAGTAAAATACTGGAATGTCTGTGAAAGTCTGACGATGCCCAAGGGACAAATAATGGTGCGTTCTGTGAGCGTCATTTCGTTCTTTGGCTGATCTAGTGCAGGATTTGGATTGGTATAACGAAAGTCGGTCATTGGTGTACTCTGGCCCTGTAGCCCGAAGGTCCAAGTCTGAAATGGATTGGCACCCGTGGACTGATCTATTCGTTGTCTTACTCGACAATTATTGTAAGTTTTGTGTTCATCTCTTGCTCAACTTAAAGTCACCGATTCGTCAGTGTTGCTCACTAAAGAGGAGAGAAGAACAGGGGGGATCCTCAAGCGCTACGTTGCGTCTAGAGTAAAACCATTTAATTTCTTTTCGGTGATTTCATTCAAATTTATTTTTTACAGCCAATACCCTTAGAATATCTCAAGCTAGGAAGTTTCGAAGGACAGCCAGAAAGTAGGAAGGAACGGTCTGAAGAAGGAGGGCTCTTGGACAACCTGCGCGCACAATACAAACCCATCTATCCGTTCACGATTTATCACTCTGCGGATAAATTGGAGCGGCGGTATACTTTGTACGCGCCGACCGAATCTGCGAGAGAAAAGTGGCGGAACGCTCTTGTCGAGGCCAAGACAATAGATGATGTGCGCCGAGATGCAAATAAGGTGTGTACATCGACATCTGTATGTCGGTGCGCTTTTATTCAACTAATTAGTGGTTTGCACCGCAACTCGTTGACGATGGCTCTTTCCGATCACCAGGAGCTTTCACCCCCCGCGGCTTTGGATCTAAAGCATCAGGGAGGATCGTTAACGCTGTGTCCTTTAGTACGTAGCACAATACCGCTTTCCCCATCCAAAATCGCTCATGATTGACAATATGTTCAGCTGCTGCCGGCGGGAAGAGGCTCATGGCGGTCGGCTCCGCCGCTGGAATCTATGTTGGCTCAAGGGGTGATTTCAGTATGAGATATTCACACACTAATTTACTACATCGCTGATGTTCACCTTCAGACTTCCGCAAGATCTTATCGTACGGCAATCCTTCATCTATCATAGTTTTACAAGATTTCAATAAGTTCATCGTACACCACGAGAGCTATCTGCTCTCCTATTCCTTGGATATTCTCGCCAGAGTCACGATGTACCAGGCCCCTGCAAGTAGCTTAGATGCTTCAATGGAGAAGATCGCAGGGGAAGATGGGACCGTCCTATTTTGTAGTGCAGGGCGAATAAAACAACGAATGATAAGTAAGTTTTGACCTAAGTCATACGGCACTTTGACTCACCTCTCACTAGTTGTTTATGCTCTCAAATCATTCTTTCAAATCACAGTGCATGTATTAGAGGCCTGCAACCTTTCTGAGCTTCGACGAACTCCATCACGAGGATCCCAGGGTACCATATTGTCGTTTAGACCGTTTGGCGAAGTGAGTGGATGTGACCATTTTCTCTTCGTATACTCATATCATGAACCAGCCATTGTATGTACCAAAGGATGCCTACTCCGTTATACCACTAGCCAAGACAGTTGCTATAAGTACAGAGAAGGGCGTCGTCATCGCCGATCCGACCAAGTATGTTGCTCATCACCCGCCTTCTATACTCTAATAACGTAGTATTGCAGCACAACTAGGCAAATGATCCAGGTCGTCCCGAATTTCAGCGCAGCAACCTCCGATACAGACATGGCAGACCTGAAGACTCGCTGCGAGGATGCTAAGCCCCTGGGCTTAATTCGGATCGAATCAGGCGAAATATTGGTTGTTTATGACAGTAAATCTTTCCGTTTAAATGATGACCACATAATTCATCGTGCCTCCACTATAGCTCTCGGATGCTACATCACGAAGTACGGCGTCCCCTCCCGGAAAAGCGGATTCATCCTCTGGGAGACGAAAGCTACGTCGTTTGCCCATCGCGGGTCCCATGTGTTGCTGTTCTCCTCTGAGTTCATTGAAATTCGGAGCATCTCTACCGGAAGACTTGATCAAGTCATTGAAGGGAGAGATATTCGTTTATTGTTGCACACCAACCTGAAATCTCACCCGGGTGATGATACACTACTCGTGGCGATGCGTGGGACCAAGGACGACAAAGATGGGGTCAGCGACAAGATAATAGAACTAGTTCGAACTGGGGAATTCAACTCCATGCAGACACCGATGATATCCACACCAGTGGAAGGTCTGTGGGATGAGTGGGATATGTAAGCAGTTGGTGTATCAGTGGAAGATAATGTATAAGTTATGCTACGTAATGATGTTTTGTTAGGTGTACTATACACATGATCATGTATCTATAAATCACTATTGTTTCGTTATGATCCTCCTAGTCGGGAAGGGATAATTTGGAACATGCAATGGGGAATGACTATCACTGAGCCTCATTCACGCCGGCTCTAATGGGAGGTCCCGGGGAACGGTCATCGGGAGCTGATCTATCATTGCCTCCATGTACCGCATACGGAAGTACTGAGAAATCGCAATCATCGTAGGGAGGAAACAAAATATGATGATAGAAATAGCCACTGCTGGTGATTTTGCCGCAAACGCCAATTCTACTGACGTCACGGCGAGAATTCCGACCGCTGGGATTGCATGCAAAATTCCAAAAATTACTGCTCCGAGCTGCTGTGGTTTTAGGTGTTTGTGTAAAGATGGATGACTTAAAAATGCCTTACGTGAGAGGCACCCGGCGCGCTAGCAGTGATGTGCAGACTGATGGTATATAGTATCAGCGTGAGGGTAGCCACTAAAAGACCTTTGGATCCTGACATCGACTGAAGACTACAAAAATAGCAGATAGTTGGTCGGAATGTCAGGAATAATACGGTTAGGATTGAACTGACGCTAGAAATGCCATGAGCTGTGAAAAAGAGGTCGAGTAAGGGACTGCGAATCTAAACAATTAATGTGAACACTCACTATATTCAGGCAAGTCTTCCTGCAATCTTGTAAGTCTCTGGCAAGTGCAGGAGATATGAATGTGGGAGTAGAAAGCATTGTGGTCTGCGATGATGCAATATTTTTGTCCTGCAACATCGTCGCGCAGATAAAGAAATGTATGAGTGAATCATAAATCTCCAGCACTTTTATACAGACGGGGTAAGTTTAGACGGAGATCCGCAGTGTCTCCATGAATTGCAGAAGCACAAGGCCAATCAGTAGTGCTGTGGAGGGACCCCCATAGCAGACCCCATAGGTAGTTATGTCCTCACCGATATACATTCGCAGACTCCTGAATTTGTGACTCTACTAGAACGTTAGATCAGATTAGATGGATAAAGTGTATCGCATTTATGGCAAGGGCTAGGCCATTCGAACCCTGGGTCTAGAACCAGACATGCATTAATCGGAATCGCAAACGCAGGAGAAATGTAGTAAAACAAGTTTTGTTACCGCTCATTACACCCCTGAGGAAGCTGCATTTGCTGATTGGACATAGCCGCTCAACGAGTCTAGACCCTCGGGGCAGGATGCGTGACGGTCCAGGCCAGGGACAGATATCGAGACAAATATGCCTTCGTTTATACCCGTCCCTACACACAGTTGCTGTACAGAAATGTGAGTACTAGATATGACTTCAGCGGGGTTACATTAGCCTAGGCAGCGCTGAGATAGTACTGACGAGTGCTGCAAAATGTAAAAGTTATGAGCGCGGGAACCGATGATGCATCCGCGATTACGGTTCTAACTTCTCAGGCTCCCTTCGAACATGCTGCGGTATGTATCGGCATTTGAATCAAAGTGGCGGAGATTAGTGCGAATTTGTACAGCAATAAGGAGTGGTCCTGTTCTTTTGTGATAAGTGCATTGGATAGGGTAGTACACGCCAGAAGCAAGTAAACTTGCTGTGGCCGGTGTTTCAAAGTCCCTCGCGACCACGGTGGTCTCGACCGCGCATAAAAAAGTCACGAAAGCACTTACAGGCAACTGGAGGCTGGGGCGGTCCAGACCCATTACAACCACTCTTCGGCAGGTCCAATATTATCAGGTCCAACTTGGGAGTTGACAGAATGTTCAGATTTGATTCAAGCCAAGTTGACATTTCGGATCCAAGCCTGACATATTTCTTCAGAGACAAAAAGTTGAAGGAGAACGGTGGCTAGGCCTCTCCGAGTGCATCGTTTAATGTCTTTACCAGAGACTTCTCCTTGGTGCTGTCCCATAGCCTAGTGGAATGACTGTCGCGTTTAAGTTAGACGAACATTCGACTTCGAAGTTCGGTGACAGTATACGTACCGTCCCAAATGGTCATCGTGATTTTTCTCAGGGACCTTCATGCTAAGTTTATGTACTACTCGTGTAACTCAGAACAAGTAAGGGGCATGCTCAGGACAGCTTCCGAAACCCGCTGAATCCGAATACGGTCTGCTACGCAATGTAGGCTGCTCCGGTCGCACATCATACTCTTTCAAAATGACCATTCCCCAGATAAAATCTATCGGGAAAACGACTTCCAAGCATACCGTTCGTCAGCTCAAATTTATCATCCCCGGAGCTGCAATCACATATGCGTTCAACACCCATCGCGTTTTTTTAGATTTGTTGACCAGACAAGATGTAGAGGGTCCAGTGGGGAAGGTGAGTCACGATCGACAGATTTCTCAATAAATATTTACGGTTGATCAGGCTGTTTGCCTTTGCTTCCACAGGCTTTGGAGGACTTGTGATCATACTTTTCCTCTATGTTCTCCTGGTACCGTGGATATACGGCCTCGAACCAGACGTCAGTCATTTCTAGTACCATTTCAGCAGCATAACTGATAACGTCTCAGTATCGGTCTTGGCGAGACTCTGGAATACTCTCTTCTGTCATCCCAATCTTGACCACTGCTATCTTAGTTGGCTGGTCACTTCTGTCCTTTACCCTTGGAAGGTGGTCTAATTTGGGATACCTAGAAGGAGTAGTAGGGGGTAAGTTCACGAACATCAATCTGTCAGATGATATCCGTGATCTCGGTTTTGCATTTCAGCATCAGGCTTGTATGCACTCACGTTTGGACTATTAGGTCTTCTTCCCGCACCAAAGATTCGCCGCTCATGACTAAGTAAGTACTGTCATTATCGAGCTGTCTGAGAGTTCAAATGTTTAAGCACTTCAGCAGGTTATATCATGATTCCCTCGCGATGAATCAATCATCCACATGGACCTTACGTTACTAATTTATGGACTGTCAATCTGTGTATATAATGTTGCAATGTAGTGAAAGTTGTAGGCCGGGTCCTTTCATGAGTGAGATGATGTGTCACATATACCCCGTACGGTCGGAATATCGTAATTCTGAGCGACCGGACTACATGTGGACTGATTTATAAGGACCTGCGTTGATACATAACTTCCGATGTGACGCAATTAACAGCTCACCATGTTCCCCAATACCTTTACCCAGATCGTCCTTCGTGAACGTCCTGTCGCTGACATTCTCCCAGACACGTTCGAGTCCAAGACGAAGGCGTTCGACGAACTCCATGTCGGCCAGAATCAAGCTCTAGTTCAAGTCACGTACCTTTCACTGGACCCTGCCATGCGTGGGTGGATCAGAGACACGCGAAGTTATCTCCCACCAGTGAAAATTGGGGAAGTGATGCGCTCGGGTGGGCTTGGTGTCGTAGTGAGCGTAGGCGAGGGGAGCAAGTTCCGAAAGGGAGACCTGGTCTATGGAATGTTTGGTGCGTCTGCGCGAACTTTGGTTCTTTTTCCCAGCCTCGTCCTCATGCTATGTGCAGGATGGACAGAGTATGCAGTTGCGAATGACAAGTCAATGGAGAAAATCTCGTAGGACTTTACTTCTGCATCGGTATTATGTATTTATACCACGAATCACAGGCCACCTCCGGGAGCGACCTCCTTGGACTTTTTGAACACTCTGGGCATGACAGGTCTGACTTCTCACTTTCCATACGTGTTAGCACGTCTGATGTTCACTAACAGGCATGACCGCATACTTTGTCCGTTCCGTTCCTGCCGCCATGTCACAACGCACTGATAAAGTTACAGGGCCTTCACCACGTCGGTCAGCTGAAAGCTGGTGAAACACTAGTAGTATCTGGTGCTGCTGGTGCAGTCGGTTCCCTCGTCTGCCAGCTCGGAAAGAAGGCCGGCGCACGTGTGATTGGCATCGCAGGTACACCGGACAAATGCTCCTGGCTCGAGGGCGACTTGGGCGTAGACAAAGCGCTCAACTACAAGAGCCCTACTTTCCGTCAAGATTTTGTGGAGGCTGTTGGGTATTTGGACGTGTACTTTGACAACGTCGGAGGCGAGATACTTGAATTAGCACTCTCGAGGTTGAATCGACATGCGAGGATTGTTTTGTGTGGTCCGTGACATCATCTCTACAGCTGCGATGACTTGTATTGACGTGAAAACGTAGGGGGTATATCCGCCTATAGTGAGCGTTTTCACAAAACCTATACGTTCGGAGGCTCATCATTCGTGTACTAGACGATCCACAACCGAAAGGTATCAAGGGGCATCTGAACATAGTCTCACAACGTGCCAAAATGCAAGGTTTCGTCGTGTACGTGCTAGTGGGGGCCATAAATTACTACATCACTGACTTCCTTCATAGTTTCGATTATGCCGAGCAGTACGCGGTGGCCGTCAAGGAGATAGCAGCTGGACTTGCTGATGGATCGATCAAAAGCAAGTTTCACATCGTCGAAGGTCTTCAAAATGCTCCGAGCGCGCTGCCTATGCTCTACTCTGGGGCGAATGTAGGAAAGCTGTGCGTGTCTCTGGCCTTTTCCTCGTTTTGCACTAAATGCTGATACGGTGATACAGAGTTGTTAAAGTTTCGGATGAGCCTTCTATCAGTTCGAAGCTGTAGATTCTTGGGATTCCTCCGTTTGAGACCCTGTTTTACATTTTACGCTCGGCTACAGAGGTGAACCAAACTATCTATAGGATAGGCTAATTTTATTAGTATTTGTTGGTATCTTGTATACTGGTACTAGCGCCCGGAATTGCAGTTGTCCTGCCACTACTCGCTAAGGTGCATCAACTTGAAGAATACCCACCGTTATGTGACTCAACAAAATTTGATAGATATGCTAGGCGTAGCAACAGACTAACTTGATAGACACGAACTTTCTGATAGGCGCAGGTTTCGGCAGTTTCATTGCACACCTGATCCCACACTGCGCGTTGCACTAGCATCTGAAACCCGGATATCTCAAAAACCCGATCCCAACAGACCCCCAAGACCTTTCACGGCAAACATCACGGACTAGGCAGTGTATCTTGGACTCCACGCTTGGCAAAACTTTACAAGACTTCGAAATTGATCATTGGTCATACAAAAACAAGGGCATCATCATGTACGTCTTGTAGATTAATACGTACACGCGTCGTTCCCTCGGAGCCTCGTTGCTCATCCACTCTAAACACGGCCTTCAGACACTTCCACACTCTCGATCCGACTATCTCGCTCCTTTTCCCCCACGTCTGACTCGTCGAGTGATTCCGATCGGTCGCGTCGTGGGTTAAGCCCTTCGAGGTACCCGTATGGTGCGAGTTTATTGTCTTCGCAGTACTGTTTGTGAGCGCGGAGAAAAGGAATGTGGTGTGGTGTAAGCGCTGCAGTAGGAGAGGCCGTCAGTCACTACTGTGTGTCGTGTAAAGAGAGAATACTCACTCCGCGTTGCAGATCCCAAGAACAGCTCATACACCGTAGCGGAGAGAAGCGTGGCGGGGATATTCGTCAGCGCAGCGATAGCTGCGTAAGTCCCTCCCGAGGCTTGCGATCCCCATATGGTCATAGCCATGAGACGGCCACCGACGTCACGGGCGGTGTTGGCGGCGACTGGAACGGAAAGTCAGATCAAGAAAAAATGAGGACGTGCGGTTCGGGGCTTACTTGCGGTAGGTGAGTACCCCCAGACTGCAACGGCGCTGGGGAGAGCGTTAAAAATTAACAGAGGACAGGATCATGATACGTACTATGCCATACCGACGATCCAAGGTGCGGCTGCTGGTGGGATCATCTGGTTGGTGGGGTCAAGGGAACCCCAAATGACTAGGCCGATGAGGAAGTCCTACAAAACGATCGTTAGAGAAGATAATTTCGGCTCGGGTATAAATGAATATATTCACAGTAACAAATTCATTGAGAAACACGCGGGCCAGGTTCGTTCCAGGGGCGACGTATAAACCGAATACGCCGGCTGGCCCACTGCTGGAAAACATCACGCTCTCGTATAAGCCTTTTTCAATCAAAACGTTCTCCGCAACCTTTGGAGAGTAAGACCGCGGAATATTGAGCATCTTTCCGACGGTATTCTACGTACCTCAAGCAAATCTTTCCATTCGGCATAGACGATGAAGCACGTGATGTAACCTGCCAGGATCTGTGCTGCGATATATCTAATAAATGCATCAGCGATGATGAAGAGCACGGTGATTACCACGAACCTGGCCGCTTTGCGCGCAGGAAAGTCTCGGAAGATAACAGATGAGATCGTGACGGCTGGATTGAAGTGGCCCCCCGACGTCGTAGCACAAAGTGAGACGGCGAATACGACGCCCATGGAGTAGGCGAAGCCAACCGTGTATAACGCTGTGGGGTCATCGTGAACAAATTGTTGAGCAAAAGGGTGGAGACTTACATCCTAATCCATTGGTCCCGGTGAGACTTCCCACAACAAATGCAGCAGTGGCTCCCAGACCTGGATAGGAAACGGGGATCGTGAGTGGGGGGAGCTGATCGCTAATCAAACGAACAGACCCGCGTAGACGTAAAGAAACACCCCCAGCTGCATGAAGTAGATCAGTCAGAATATATCATAAAAAATCAGGAATCAGGATATACCATTTCTGCAACGATTTCCATGAGCCAGTGGGCCTCCTTCTTGTGTTTGAGCCTCTCCCAAGAGGTCATCCAACGAGGCTTTGGGGCGATGTCACTCAGATGAATTTTTGGGTGGGACATGACTGTTAGAGGGGACGAAGGTTTAGAGAAGGAGGGGGAGGAACTTTTAGAGGGCCTTTTATTGGCGGGGGAGAACCCATGAGGCGAATACTACCGTTCCAGGTGGAGACTGTCCAGACTCAGAAATGAGAGAAGACACATTTAGCACTTGAAATCAAGCGCCCGATGCAACGCAATGTAGCAGGCTGTCAATCGATCAATGATCTGACCGAGTATGATTTGTTCGGCTATGATCGTCATACTAGTATGCTCGCAGATTCCGCGCGAGTCTGAATCGCTTCTTCCGAGGAAGACTTCTTGCGAGATGAGTCGCGATGGACTGTCTTGATGGAGTCGGGTCAGCTGCAGTAGCCAGCAGCCATATTTATGCATATGTTTCACGGGGTAGATCCGTATTATAATAAGAATAGGATTCAAAAATTTGGAAAGAGCTAATAACGGATATATCGTCTGATAATCAGTGTCCTGGATACCCCTCATCCGGAACGAGGACCGATTCCTCTCCAGCCTCCACTCGACGCCGTATGACGGGTCACGGTACTATACGTGGCATATTTAGTAGACTCTTCATCACCATGACACTGTCTAACAACGGGTGTTCCTGGCCGTGTGATGACTTCTAAAAACGTTGAATACGACCTCGGGGCAGTCAAGGCCCGCGTGCATACTAGGCCAATCATCAGACAATTCGATATTCGATGACGAACCGGAATATCATAATGTCCAGCAGAATTTGTAGAAACTCTATTGCCAACTAGTGAGCAACGAAACGTCCATGAGCAGTGGCAACCGCTACTTGAACTTTCCGCTGTAGCCCAACAGGAATTTGTTCTACCGTGTATAATCCGACCCTGCCTCGGCGACAAATACCTTCGGGTACGGAATGACAAGTGACACTCGCGAAACACACACAAATCTGAAAGTTTCCCTGGACGGGCTCGTTCTTTTCAAAGTTAAGAAGCACGCAAATAGATTTCCTTGAACAATTCTTATCTCCTAGGCAAGAGCTCATCTTCCTTCTGTCACGTGATCCTTCGAATATGTGATCCCAGTTTGCGTTTATACGGACAATGGCATAGCGGAGGTGTACTGTACTACTCCGCTGCCAGAGTTACTCATGTCCTGGGACTCCCCGTATCTTTCGCTTCCGATGGCCCACCATGTCGAAACCCACCCATCAGTTTCTTCTCTCGTCGACAGGCAAAGTGCTTCCCGTCTTCTGGGACAACCTCACGCCATGAGGCCGATTCGAAGCGTCATTTAAGCAACATAAGTTCTATATATGTTTGTGCCATTACAGCATGTCTTGCATTTGTTCTGGGCAAGCGGTCGCTTAGACGCTTATGGTGCAACTCTGGTGCTGCAGTTCATCCCTTCTATTCAGAAGCTGACGCTTTAACATAGGTTGGGGTAGATGATATTTCTACGGGATTTTGGGTGCAAGTTTCAAGTTGGCCGATGACCAGCTGCAGGAGCTCCAATGAATCAATCCACTGACGGTTTTTTGATAGATCGCCTCTCTGCGGTTCCGTCCCACGCTATTCGGTCAGGGATAATGGTCAGGGAGTCACATACACCCTAGAGCCCATGCTGCGGACGCCTCTCGTTTCCCAATTCCCCTCGGTGTTCGGACACAAGACAGCCCGGCGCTGTGACAACTCGACCAGTACAATTTCTCCTCTCCATAAATGTTTCTAAGCTCTGTCATGTCGAAGAAGAGATCGCGTCACGATGGATCAAAATAGTTTCACTCAGCGAGCCGGAATGGACTCTGGTGCAGGGCGTTGTGTGCATGACTCTTGTTCTAGAGCTGAATCGTGGTAAGGACCCCAGGACCGATATTCAAACTCCGTGTATGCTGTGTTTGAGGCGAGAGAGATGATCATCGAGGAGCAACGAGTGTGTTTCGAGACGGAAACGGACGGTTGATTGAAGAAATAGAGAATGCTGTGGTATGGGCAGGGTCCATCCAAGTGATTTTAAGATTTTTTAGATTTTTACAAGATCAGGGTATCCGGGGAACATGATTTAGATATTTCCCGCGGGTGTATTGGGTTTCAAGGATATTGACTCTTGAACTGACTGACGACTCACCGTCGACGCCGTTTCCGACGTTGAAGCCTCTGGGTTAGCTTGTTTTTTTCTCCTGCAACCCCAGCTTCAAGACAGCAGCTGGTACTTTTTTCTTCTTTCACTTTTCTTTTTCTAAACAAAACAAGCAGAGCTTAAGCTTAGGTTTTAACTCACAGTGGGCAAGCGGCTTTTAGTCGCGTCCTCGTCGTAGCCTATCTGTCTGCTGCATTTCATTACTTGTGTTCACTTTATTTCATTACTTTTCAACGGATTCACAGATGGCAACTACCGCTCGCCAACCTAAGCCAAGAGGGAAGGGAATGGCAGATCCTCCTCGGTATGTCCCATCACACTACTAACCTCATACTTCCGTTAACCTTGCTCCATTCAGTCGTCCTGCTTGGCAGACTGGTGCAAGGCCAAATTCTACGTTATCACCCACCAACAATTCGGCTCGGCTCCCTCCTTCAGCTAATCAGGGGGGCTTCCCTCCACTAGGTGCTCAGACTAATGGCTCTCGCATTCATGACCCCACTCAGGACCGTCTTCATATTCTTTCTGGTCTCACCGTGTGTTTCCATTCTTGTTCCTCCACCAATTCCTTCACTCACAGTCGTATTTTAGGGCACAACTATCACCTTGACCACCAAAACCGCTCAGCGCTATGAGGGTGTCATTTCGTCTACTGCTAGTGAGGGTGACACTGCCGGTATCACCCTCAAGGACGTCAAGGAGATTTCAAAGCCTGGCGCGCCGCTCAAGGAGTCATTCTTCATCCCTTCCTCTAATATCGACACCTGGCAGTCTGGTCCTGCTGACGCTAAGATACCGATTCCAAACGGTGACTGTGAGTACATCGCATTGGCTTCTTGCTCCTCCACAGGAACCTGATCCAATAACCCCGAATATCTGATGATGTTGATCTCCATACTTGCTGTGGAATAGCTTTCAGAACAGATGCAGATATCAGCAAGAACAAGTTAGTCCGTGAACGGGAACTCCAAGCATGGCAACCAATTGCATCTGCTGCTGCTAGCTCTCCACCTCCGGCGGATATGCATCATGAAGGTCTCGGGGATGAAGTTACCTTTGGCCTGGGCTCGGGCGCTAACACATCTTGGGATCAATTCGCGGCTAACGAACAAATGTTTGGCGTCAGGACTACTTTTGACGAGGAGGTTTACACCACTAAGTTGGATCGGACGGCTGCTGACTATAAAGAGAGGGAGCGCAAGGCTCAGCGCATTGCTAGCGAAATATTGAATGTATGTTTGTGGCGTTAAGGTTTATTTTAGTGCGAGCTAATTTTTCTGATAGGGCGCCGTAAATAATCCTCATGTAGCAGAGGAAAGGAATTTGAATGTTGACGATAGCGGTGTGAACGAGGAAGACAAGTGCGTCCACTCGGTGTCAGGTCTGCATTTATCTGATGGCATTGCTTCTAGATTCGGTGCTGTTGTCCGAGGGCAGAATGCTTATGTTCCGCCAGGCGCTCGCAAACTCCAGGTCACTGGACCAGCCTCGGGAACAAGCCCTCCTCCAAAAGATGTTCCTAAAGTATCTATCAATGGCCCCGACGGTGCCCCTGTTGCTGCAAAGGACGCGGCGCCTGTTGCTGTCAAGTCCCCTTCTCCTGCGCCATCAACATCATCGGCTTCTAATAAGGTATGCAACCCCTTACGATCTTGATCTATCTGTTTCAATCCGAATTATTGTGCTACGACGTTTACCCTTGATTGGTTGAGACTGATGGATTGCTGACGATCACTTTTTGATGATAGCCCCCGGCGGATCCATTGCCGGCGTTCCGTGACTTTGTGACGAACGAGAGACAGCGCTTGACACAAAAGAAGCAGGCGCTCGTCAAGAGTGAGATGGACAAACGGAAGGCTGAGCTACTGAAATTCAGCCAGACGTTCAAGGTCAGTGTTGTGGTATTTTCTCTCTCCATTCCTGGTTTCACTCATTGAGTTCCATCTAGTTGAACAAGCCCATTCCGGATGATCTGGTTCCTATTCTTGCCAAGGATGAAGAGAAACAGCGACAAATTAGGGAGAAGGCCTCGGTGGATGCTGCCTCGACCACCGCTCGTGCCATCGGTATCACCGCTGCTCTCAATACCTCCCCTAGCGTGTCTCGCATGCCGACCTCCACTTCTAACAAGATTGTTCCTGCTACTGCGAAGCCTACTCCTGCTCCGCCTGCCATTCCAAAGGCGCCCGTCGCTGGTACCTCTGCCTCTGTTGTCAAACCCGTCGCTACGAAGCCCAGTGAACTCGGCAAGAAGAACGCGGTCAATATGTACATACAACCCATCCCCCCGTTCAAAGGCGCGAAGCGCTCGACTACACCATTGCCTGGCCCGGCGACTCACACGAACGGCGTTGCCGTGCCCACGTCGCCCACCACCACCGCAAACAGGCTCAATGCTAACGCCTCGTCGTTCAGGCCCAACCCAAAGGCAAATACTTTCTCTCCTGTAATATTGAATGCTGGATTTCGGATGTGTTACTAACTGGTCTGCGTGATTAGGGTCCTACGTCTCCGATTCCGAGTTCTACATCAGCCTCTGCGTCACCGAAGGCTAAGCCTGCTGAAACGGTGAATCAATCATCCGAATTGTGAATTTTGATCGTGGATTAACCCAGCTCTCTCTTAGTCTCCTCCCACTCCCAATCCATTCTTTGGCACCAAGATTATGAAGAAAGGAGCGGTTCATATCAAGGATGATTTCAATCCATTCAAGCATAACAAAGTTGTGGAGGCGAACCAAATTAGTGCGTGCTGCACCCTCTTGCTGAGGATGCAATCTGATGCCCCCCCCTGTAGCTGCTATCTGGCCTTATAGTGGCAAGCGCTACATGCATATGTTCCCTCCCCTGCAACACCAATCGCCTCAGCAACCCGTCCACATCGCGCCACCCGGTCCACCGCCCGTCTCACACCCTGTATACGAAGACAGTGGCGAACAACGTGTTTATTACTACCCATACTACCCTGGACAGGTGTGCATGTCCCTATTTCCCGTGGGAATTTTTCTGAAATCTCGCTCAGCCCATGATGCCTGGCATGGCTCCTCCACCACCTGGTGCATATGTATCAACACCGTTCATGCAACCAATGGTGTACCCACCAGGCATTCCACCGAACGGCCAACGTGAGTCTAGGTCCCAAATTTAGGTGAATAGTAGCTCATGATACCCCACAGCCATGTATGCTGCATCGCCTATGCCTCAGATGCCTCGTGTGTATCCATCTTGGTTTCTCTGACTTTTGGCTGACCTCTTCGGGATAGCGCCACAATACATGCAACCACCACCTGGCACGTACCCTCCGCCACCCAACGGTGCTGGCCCACGCCCATCGATGCCACCTACTCCCATCCCCTCTCACGCGCACGCATACTATCACCAAAGCCCACAACGTGCGTGTTGATCTAATTTTGAAATTTATTGTGATTGACGATGGTTCCTTTCATTCTTGCAGTACAACATGCCGTCCCTTACCCTATGATGATGCCGCCTGCAGGACCGAATGGTCCTCCCCACCCATACGAAGCTGGCCCGGCTCCTCCACAGATGGGTGGTGTGGGCCATGTATGATCGAGTGACGGGTAGCATGGTATCCGCATCTTTTCTCCTCGTTATCTGTTGTCCGCTGTCTTCACGCAGTTATGTCATTGTTGTTGTGTTTCATAGTTCAGATGTCATTCCTCTGGGCGCATGTTGTAGCTATCAATCTCTGGCATTAATTGACGGTGTGGACTGAAAACTGAGTGCCCGAGGGAGACGTTGCAAAGGGTATGTATACAGAACGCGAGCAAATAGCTAAACTATGAACATAAGTCAAGTGAGGTGTCATTTACTTGGTGTACACTGAAAGCTCGATCTTTTTTAGTAGTCCCTTGAGCGTGTTGCTACTACGGTTGCAGTGGTGCTGCAGCCAACCCTCCATTTCATGTCTTATATCACTAAGCTCCTCGCACAGGGGCAACTTGCCATCTGGACGCACGAGGCAAGGATTAAGCAAGAGATCGAATAACCTTGTCCATAAGTCATTCTGCCAGTAGCGCTTGAACGGCGTCGTGACCTTGTAAGGGGATTGGGGGGTGATGGATGATGTTTCAATGTATTTGCCGAACAGCATGCAGTAGATGATGCCAGCGAGACCAAAGTAGTCGGTCTGGTATGTCCATGGTCGGTGCTCCCTCAGCTCAAAACAATCTCGTGCATCTGCTGGCCAGTCACCAACGAACTGTTGGTTGTGAGGAAAGAGGGACGTGTCGAGCGTTCGTCCGAAATCAATGATCCTGACGCCCTTGTACTTCCAGCCGTTTTCACCCGAGGGCTGGTATATACTAGAGAGGGAAGCACCACCTAGAACGTCTTCGAGGCGTAGGAGGCAGTTGTCAATCTTGAGATCGCCATGGATGAACCCTGCGCTGTGCATTCCTTCGAGGAAGCGCATGATTTCGATCGTGAAGAACATGACAAGGAGTTCATCGAGACACGCCCCTTGCTGCGAGATGCCAGCGGTGCCAGCACGGTTGACGATGTCGAGCAGGGTGCCTTGCGGGCATAACTGCATAAGGAGGTGGCTTTCGTCGCGATACGCGTAGAGAGCATAAGGTAGAACGAGGGAACGGCGGAGTGGCTCAGGGAGCGTGCGGTGGATTCTACGTAGGACGTGGAATTCCCATAGGTTTCGAGGCTTCACGACTTTCAGAGCAAGCATAGAAGAACCGTCCTCCTCATCGTCCTCATCCAAATCCTCGTCTTCGTCATCTTCGTTCTTGGACGAAACATCTCGAGCTGCAAAAACTGATCCAAAGCCCCCTTCACCTAGTTTATCCACCACTTTCAGTCTCTTTCCCTCCAAGGCGACAATAAACGCATCGTCATCGAACCCCTTGGAGCTCGAGCCGCTCCCTCGCCTGCTCTTCTTGGCCGTGAACTTTCGTAGATCCTCGAGTATGCCTGAGTCCTGCCCTCGCAGGTCGTGGAAATCATCGTCTCCAGGTAAGAGGGAAAGCAGTGTGGACATAATGGCAGGGTCGAAAGGATTGCAGGGGTTCGATGGTCTGAAGGTAGACACTACGGCCAGAGCGTCTGAGAGACTGAGAGTCCCTGTGCGCTCTTCGATCACTTCTAGGTCTGCTGGCTGGTATTGCGGGACCGATCCTGGACGGTCATAAGAAGCGAACGATGAGTCCGATTCTTCCCCATCGTGCACATATCCTCGTTCACGTTCGTCTTCCTCTCGCAGCTCTGCTGCGAGTCGTTCTGCAGCCTCAACTGCACCATTTTCATGCGGCGTGGGGAATCCGCGAGTGCTAAACTCAAAGGTACGTTCCGTGATGGGCGTCATCACGTTTATCCTGCCGAAGCGACCTCCAAGAGGCTGCAGTTGCTCCTCCTCGTATTCTTCTTCGAACTGATCACTGATGCTTGAAGATGAGGAGAAGGGTACATCAGGTTCTCCCTCAATATAGCCATCTTCAAAAGGTTCGTCACTCGAGGAAAAGTTTTGCTGAGGATCGTCTGCGGGATCACTGGATTCATCGGTATACGTATCAGACGCTGGCGTCCTTGGTGCGTGAGGAGCCTCATGTTCCACCTGGTTCTCAGACATGCCAATAGTACCGGTATCCACAAACGGCCTGAACGTGCCCGGCTTCGGGGTGAAAACGTGTCCTGCGTTCTCACTACCATCATGTGATGATGGCGGGCGACTGAAGACCTTGAAAGGCGTTTTAGAGTCCACGAATGCAACGAATGGCGCCGCCTCCGGTTTAGAACCAGGAGGTTGAAACATGCTTGCATTCTCATTCAGGGGGCTAGCCTTCGCTCCCTGTGAGTTGGGTCGGGTGAGAGGTTCTTTCTGAGATACGGGAGTGAAAACGCGCGAGAATACACTGGCTTTGGCATTGACGTTGTCATTCTCTCTCCTCGCATTTTCTTCGGAGATGGCTTTGAGGGTGGTAGGAGGTTTAAAAGAGGCTGCAGGAGTGCTGTCCTTCGTTGTGAGAGCTCGGCGACCAATGTCAGGAGTAACAAATGATTGTTTTGGGGGTTCGTCCATGAAAGGTTTGAACTACCAGCAGATTTAGCATTGAATGGAGGACGACAGTCTTTTATTTTAAGCACCTTTACAGCAGGGGTGCTATTCTCCTTGCGGTTCGCGTTCTCGTCGACGAAGGGTTTGAATGCACCTGTCATGCATAAAAATACAAATGAGCCCTAAAAACTTAATGAATTTTAGCTTACCCGGTGTCTTAGCATTCTCATCCTCCACTTGGACAACAGGCGGTGACTGTCTTGTTGCAGCTACCATGGGTTCAATCCTCTTCACCGGCGCATGCTTACTCCCAGGCATCATCCGTTTCACAGTCTTATCCGGGGAGTTATACATTCCAAACACATCTGCCAGCGCCTCTTTCGTATTGATCGTGACTGTTGGCTCTCCCAATGTGACAACGCTCTTGCGCTTCCCGTACCCCATATTCTGTGTGCTCCGTGTGCCGTCATCGTTGAAGTTCACTCGGACGGTCTCGCGTGCCTCTGAAGGTGGGGGTGGGCCCCATTTCTTGTTGAGAAGTCCCATGGAGCGGGCGCGCACTTCAGCAACGCTGTATTCAATGCCGTCTCCAGTGAAAAGCAGTGAGAGATTGAAGCGCAGCTTCTCTGGGCGCCTCCCTGGGACAGGAGGAGCAAGCATCGGGGCATAGCGGCTATGGGCTCTAGGGCTCGATGCGGAAGTTTGCGGGGTGCTAGATTTAGAGGATGATGATTTGTTCGAAGTACCTGAGGACGAAGCAGGTGGTGGATTGTGGTTCTTCAGGGGATTACGGCGGAGGGCATCGATTTCTTGGGAACCACTGGGTCGGAAGGTGATGGGTGTAGGCTTAGATGACGAAGGGCTGCCTTGGAAATCGCGATAACGTTTCTTCAACCTCTCGATTGGACGAGCGTTACGCGTGATCCCGATACGGAAGACCTTGTCCGCCTCGGTGTGTCTGGATCATGCAGATGAATGATTCACCCAACCCGCACTTGGCCGCCAGGCATACAAGCTACTCACCTTCCCTCCTTGTCCAGTGCCCCAGCATATTCCTCATAAAGCAGTGCGTATATGCACCCAATGTCATGCTTTACGAGATATGAGTAAATTATAGTCGGTCTCTCGACTTGCTTCGCATATGCAGACCAGAGTTTCAGGTATCTGAGATCGCCCTTGTACCTCAAATCATCTTTGAACCGTCTGGTGGTCTCTTCAAGTAGCTCGACAAGACCAGATGTCATGTCATCTGCAGAATACTGCTGTGCGGTCCATTTGACAAAGTCATCGTAGGCAGCAAGCGGATCTTCGTCTTCCTGGAGGGCCTCAGCGATGCTAGCACGATATTCTTCTTTTTCTTGATCAAGCTGGGCATTGCGAGCGGGCGCCATTGCGATTTGATGACGATGATCGTATGCGGCGCAGACAGCGCGTCCTGCAGAACCTTTGTTGAAGTATGTTTATGTCCCCGAAGTTCGAACGCGACGCGTCGGGATCACGTGGCACAAAAGCTGGCTCTTCAACAAGGGGGCGCATAGCGATAGTTATACACCATGAAGACAGTGAGTGCATGGCCCGGGGAACCGAGTGAGCTACTACTGCATGTATTACACTTCGAATCTCGTAGGTAACCCGTATTAAGACAGCGTTGGATCCTTCATCAGATGCCCCAACACCCCTCCCTCAATACTCGTCTCCCATAACTCCACCTTTGCCCGTTCGATCTCTCCAACAATTTGTCGGCGACGTTCCCTTGCGCGCTGAAGAATATCTTCTTTATTAACTGCCTTGAAGCTGGCGCGCCGAGGAATGACGGGAGTTGGTTCATGCATGGATTGGACCGACAACGCGCGAGATATTTGAGAAACTGGCGGCAGGTGCGTCAATGGCGAGAAACGGGATGGAGCAGTTTGAGCATATGGCGTGAGTACTTCCGGTGAGATGTCTATGGGTGAGAGAGCATGCGGAGGAACAGTAGGTTTTGCAGCAAACTGCAACAACATTTTGGCAGCAGCCACTGAATCTACGTCATTCGCGTGAAATAAGTGAGCATATTCAGCCATCGAACTACCTTGAGATAATGCACCTTGGTCATTACACACGGGTGGGGTAAGAGCCCCATCAGACGAATTGGTGGATGTGATTGGAGAATGAACGAGCGCAGGAACCGGGGAAAATGCATTGTATGTGACTGATGGTGGAACAGAAATAGCAAGAAGTGCAGGATCAATGGTGCAGTCGGGAATTATATGCTGAAAGGTATTGGTAGGTGTAGGTGATACAAGAGATGGTGACAACGTGCGCCTGGAGGGTTCAGATGCGCGGATGGATGACTGGGGAGAAGATGATGGTACCTGATCGACATCAAGCGGAGATGGCTCAGAAGCAGCCTTGATCGACTCCACAAGCTGCATAATTAGATGCCTCGCACGTTCCCGCTCCCATGTAGCGTGATATGCCTCAGGGCCCTCACCTTCAGGAAAGGGGTAAGGCACGTCCCACTCCACTGCACCAGCAGGGACGCTTGTAAGTTTGCGGCGCTTCAGCGGGGGTGCAGCCGTCGTTGCGCGCTCACTGCATGAGCGCGAAGATGGGCGATCATGAGCAGATGGTGGTTGTGTGGACGTAGCTGGAGAGTTGCTCAGGAGTTTCACGATGCTTGATAACACAGGATATATATTTTTCTGTCTGATGAGGGAGCTGATGTCCTCTCCATTGACTGAAGTGAGTTGACTTGGATCGATATGAGGCAGGTGCGTTAGATCAGACTCCTCTATAATGATAGGGTTAGAAGGCGTGGACCCCCGGATTGTTTGTTGTGGAAGGCTGGTCGGCTTCACGTTTCCGACGAGGCCAGCTATGCCTAATAACGCTTCCTGGTTTCGCAAGAAATTGGAAGGTAGTGGTTCGTCTGGGCCAGGGAACGGTATTGGCGGGGGTGCAGGGCGGGGAGTTGCTGGTTGCGATTTTGTGGATTTCCGCTTTCCCGTGGCCCTGGAAGAGGAGCGAGATGTCGAAAAAGGTACCGATGAGGCAACACGAGGCGATTGCGTCAGGTGCGCTTGTAAGTTGTTTTGCATTAGCACCGCATGCGAGGGAGGAGGCTCGCAAGTGCTAAAGCTGCCGAACGGCAAGGCTAGTAGGTCGGCTGGTAGTTCAGAACATGACATATGGGAACCAGGAAGTGCAATGGCCCCCACATTTTGTGTTATGCCTGTGCCCCTCTCTTGGGCTGCTTGGGCAGGAACCGCCGGTGACCTACCTCGAACTGGAGATGGAGGCGGTGAGCCAAAGAGAGAGTCCTCATCATCTTCGTCCATGCTGCAACTTGAAGGCTGTGAGCTATTGGCTATAGAATTTATGGAGAGTGACACCTTAAAAAAGCTATTTTGTGTGTTTCTCGATGAATGTTTGATTACTCCAGATGACAGAAATCGAACACGATTTCGAAGTTATGACTTGATCGGAAACGCGATTTGAGTCAATGAGACAGAACTTCGAGTCAGAAAAGTTCGCTCACAAGCATGATATCGGTTTTAAAGTAGAAGAAATAAACAGCTAAGCAATGTCGAGTTCGCCCGTCGATGCCGATGGCTAGAACGTCAAAGTAGAGTTGATCGAAGGTGCACTGGAAAGAATTTGGTGAGCGTTGAGTCAAACATCACCAAATATAAGTATTAAATTTATAGATATCAATCACGTGGTGCTGTATTCGGAGTTCGTCTATAGCTTAGTACGTGACAGAAGTCCTTCTCTTTGCAGCGTTTGCCTACGTCCTCAACAAAGGAAAAGTAAGGTTAACTTGATTATTATTAAACGAATGTCTAACCTACTATAGTCTTGAGACAAAGTCCACCCGTCAGTAGACGATGTGCGGTCTTTTCCGTCACATGGCAGGCGTCTTGAGCTGCGCTAGAAGTCTGCTTGTCTCATGTTGTATAAATGATGCATGCACTACACCCCATGACCAGCGAAATGCAACACCTTGTTCCGGACAAACATAAAGCCCCTCGGGCCGTTTTGTTCTTACCCTGATAGTGTCTTGTGAGTCACCCCGTGCCCTTACCACCTCCAAGTCTGATGTGATTCACCGAGGATACTCCTTCAATATCTCCTTGATTTCGTAAATGGTCCACCTGATCACTCTATAAGCATGAGCATCCCATATCACAAGAAGTATATAAGCCCGAGGTTACTTCAAGTTGTTCATCATTACAGATTCTTACATTCCCCACATCATTATGCAGAGCACTTCGTGGCCAGAGCGATTTGTTGACTTGAAACGCCAGATAGTCGAGGCTACGCCCGACTATGAGAAGCGTCTCACAGAGTCTTGGAAGGATCTCCTCGGAGAGCTCGACAAGCGTACCGCCGATATTGCGCAAGCTGGCCCGGATGTGAGCACCATCTTGTCTCCTTGATTTTACGCAACCTGATCAAGTGCATAGTATATCCCTCAAGTCCGGTATGACGACCTTGATAAGCTCTCCGCCGAGGAAATCGATATTATTCGGCGCAAAGGCACCGTCATCATCAAGGATGTTGTCAATGACGATGAAGCCCGAGCGTGGAAGACTGCACTTGATGACTTTGTCAAAGCTAATCCCCATGTTAAAGGTATTGAGTAAAAACTCCGGACAATACGTTATTGATGCGGCAAACAGGCTTCCCTGAGCAAGACAAACAATTCTTCATGCTGTAGTAAGCATGTTTTTCTAATCATTCTGAAAGATGTTCCAATTACTCTCCTAGCTGGACACGTCCACAAGTGCAAGCTCGCGCACACCCAAATGTCCTCAAAGCTTCCGCATGGCTAAACAAGCAGTACCATGTTAAGTCAGGCAAGCTACTCGAGGGCGTCGACCTCAATGTTCCCCTTGTATATGCCGACCGATTCCGTATTCGCCATCCTGGCCCAGGATGGGACAGGTTCCCCCCTCACGTCGATGGTGCGTTCCACGACACAATTTAATTATCGAGAAATCTGAGCGTATGCAAGGTGGTGCAATTGAGCGCTGGGAAGATGAAAGCTTCCGTAAATGCTACGCTGATATTCTCAGTGGCAACTGGCGCGCGCACGACCCATATGAACTCGAGGGTCGTCTGGATGCCCGGAGCTCGTTATATGGTAGACCGGGACAAGTAGGTATCCCCTCTGTCCTTTTAACTACCTAATCTTTGTTATTTCAGGCGACTATATTCAGGTCCTTCCAAGGTTGGTTGGCAATGAGGTTTGTATTCCACGAAATTTCGGGTCCCCATTCACACAGCAAAATTGACATGGTCATAATTCCAGTGAGGCCGCTCCAACACAGGGAACGCTCCGGGTATTCCCTGATCTCATGCTCTCAAACGCATACACTATTCTCCGCCCGTTCTTCCGCCCCACCGTCCCGCTCGACTCGGAGGACATCCTCAAGCCAGAAAATTGGGTGTTTGGCACGTCTACTTATTTAAACGGCATTGACTTAAGCTGACTTCATCGGAAGACATCTCAACCCCTGATTTCCCTGGTATTTTAATTTTTGCAGACGGATTCTCTGGTCCGCGTCCGACGCCAGAACTGCACCCGCACCTCAGGCTTGAGAAGACAATGACCTCTGTGCCGAAGGTCAACCCGGGAGATATGGTTTTCTGGCACTGCGTAGGTTTTCCTTCCGTTATATATTATTTTTCATGTGAGCAAAATCCACAGGATGTCGTGCACTCGGTTGAGGAAGAGCACACCGGTCAAGAAGATTCGGCAGGTACGTTCTGCGTTTCTTGGTTTGTGGATCACACCAACGCAAATCGTTTTATGTTAGTGATGTACATCGGCGCGGTGCCACAGACACCCATGAATACCGAGTACGTGAAGAAACAGGCAGAGACGTTCCTCGCGGGCATCAATCCTCCCGACTTTGTTAAAGACCAGCCGAACACCACATACGTTGGCTTAGGCATTCGACGCGGATGTGAAAGAACCTATTGCGCGAATTGCGATGGGACTACCAATTCAAGTTGCGTAAATATCACTGTCCTAACATGAGTCAGATAGATATTTCTGTAAGATTGTTGTTCAATACCAATACACATGAGAAGGTTATAACTGGGGACGTGAAATAGAAAAGAAATCGAGTGTGGGAAAGTTCAAAGACCCGAAACATCGAAAACCTTATAGCGTGTTGTCTTGATCTTCCATAGTTGTCGACTTGTCTTCTATTTATTAACAAGTCCTTGGATCTGTCGCTGATGTTCCTGCTCTTATCCGTATTGAACTAGTGCGAGTTCTGATTCCACCGTGTCTTTGTCTTTTCTGCACAATTGCAATGTGCTGTGCTCTGTTGCTGAGTGCTGTAGAGTCGACTTCTGGTCCAGCGCGCGTTCCGACTATCGACGGTTGGTATAATTCTCGACAGACGTTTCGGCCCATGTATGCAACATCAAGCTCGGCCGTGATTGGCTGACGTTCGTGAATGCGAGATTTGATGGCTCTTGATTTCTTCGGCCTTTGGAGATGAATCTTGCTACGACACGGCAGAAAACGGGTTCAAACTCGTCCCAACGCATGAGACACATTCAAACTTAAGATTCGGAACACTCGTTCTAGCCGTCTGCAACGTTCACGTGTACAATATGGTGCAAAACGGCCAGCCAACCAGCGTGCGTACCAAGCAACATCATTCGAAATGTACACTAACGGACCCCTTTCAGACTTTCCAACTCAGCTTGCGAGCCATGAAGGTCCTAGACCCTTCTGACGAACCTATCGAAGAACGATTCATTCCCATCCTCTCCACAACCTCTGTTGACATGTCGAAAGATGATTTGGTCATTGCAGGATTATCTACATTCGACGTCGCGATCAGCCCCACCAAAAAACTCAAGGTCGCGAACGGACGGAATCACAAAGAAGGGAAAGGGAAAAAATGGACTGACCGTCTCCTCCGTTTCACGACTCACCTGATCATATTAAGCACTCAAAAATTCACAGAAATACAGAAAAAAGGTGCTTTGATTTCACCGTTCTCTTGTATTTGTAGCACTCGCCTCCATCTAGCGACTTATCTGAACTGTTCTGTATAATACTAGCCCATCTGTAACACTAATCTATTCGTCTACCAAGCGACCGTAGTGGGCTCTGCCGCAAGCGGCCTTTCGCGTTATCGTATAAGCTAGCAGCCATCGGGAGATTATGGGATGAAGTTCCGGCAATGGCTCGTCGTTGGTATAAAATCCTCCAAAAACTCGAGTTTCGTATACCGTTTCAACCGCCATCATCTTATTAATATTCGTGTTCGTGATTCGCATCGTAGGTAAGTCCTTGCCACTGTTACCATCAATGCCAACCCCATGAGTCTTTTCATGCGGGGTACCGGGCTTCCAATCATGCTCGAATCATCGTCATCGCCATTTATCGTTTTGACTTTTGTTGACCAACTTCATCAGACTCTGTCAACCACAATGGTTCATCCCCACCAGACACCCTACGTTACACCCCACATCTTGCACAAAAATTACGCTCAGGCTTTTGATAATGAATTCCATAGTAACCGTAAGTGCACCCAACTGCTATACCTCCTATTTACTCAATGTTTCAAACAGTCATCGGCCGTGACCTCGAGTATTTCTCGCATGCAGGGTTTGACATGGATAGGATCCAGCTGAAGCGTAATGCTCCTATAGCCCAGCTTTATGAAGATGCCATCCGCAATGAGGGCGCAATTATTTCCTCATCCGGCGCACTCATCAACTTCTCTGGTAAGAAGACCGGTAGAAGTCCTAAAGACAAGCGAATCGTCTATGAGGAGACAAGCAAGGATGATATATGGTGGGGCTCCGTGAATATCAAGATGGACGAACGTGAGTTTACTCCGTTGGACACCCGTTCCTTGTCTCAGTAGTTGTTTCCAGACACGTTTGAGATCAACCGCGAACGTGCCATCGACTATCTGAATACGCGTGACAATGTCTACGTCTTCGATGGTTTTGCTGGTGTAAGACCATGTGTTTCAACTACATGGGCTTGCACTGCTCACTGTTTTTAGTGGGATCCCAAATACCGTATCAAAGTCCGGGTCATTTGTGCCCGTGCATATCATGCTCTCTTCATGGTATGTAGCTACAATCACACGTATTTCATCTTCTGACACCCTGGAAGAACAACATGTTGATCCGCCCGACCGAGGAAGAGCTCGCAAGTTTTGGCGAGCCCGACTTCATTATCTACAATGCCGGTCAGTTCCCCGCGAACCGCTTCACAAAGGGCATGTCTTCCACCACGTCGGTGGAAATTAACTTCAAGCGCATGGAAATGGTCATCCTCGGCACTGAGTACGCCGGCGAGATGAAGAAAGGTGTCTTTTCCGTCATGCACTATCTTCAACCCGTGAAGTTTGGCCAGCTCTCCCTCCACTCGTCTGCCAATGTCGGAATGGAGAAGGGCGACGTTACCCTGTTCTTCGGTCTTTCCGGAACTGGAAAGACCACTCTCTCCGCTGATCCAAACCGCCTACTCATTGGTGATGATGAACACGTATGGTCGGACACTGGGGTGTTCAATATCGAAGGAGGATGCTATGCCAAGTGCATCAACCTGTCGAGCGAGAAGGAGCCAGAGATATTCAACGCCATTCGTTTTGGCTCCATTCTGGAGAACGTTGTATACAATCCTTTATCGCGCATACCGGATTATGACGATGTTGGCATCACGGAGAACACACGCTGCGCATATCCAATTGAATACATTCCAAACGCCAAAATCCCATGCATGGTGGACAAACAACCGAGCAACATTATCATGTTGACGTGTGACGCATTCGGTGTCCTTCCCCCTGTCAGTAAACTTTCCCCAGAGCAAGCGAGCTACCATTTCCTTGCTGGTTACACTTCGTGAGTGTATTTTTGCTTCTGTCAGCGCTACTCGCTAAGTCGTGCTTGAAGGAAAACTCCTGGGACAGAGGATGGTGTCCTTGAACCTATCCCGACATTCTCGACCTGCTACAGTGCACCATTCATTGTGTTACACGTGGGTCTTCATCTCCTCCTAAGAACTCCTGAGCTAAGCCTTACCGTATCAGCCTGGACGCTATGCAGAAATGCTGGCCGAGCGCATGTCCAAACATAACGTGTCCTGCTGGTTAATCAACACGGGCTGGACAGGTGGTAAGTTCGGCACCGGCAAGCGCTGCCCACTCAAATACACGCGCCGCATCGTCGATGCCGTACACTCTGGCGAGCTTCTCGATAGCGAGTATGAGACCTTTGGCGGCTTCGGGCTCCAGATTCCTACTGCGGTAGAGGGTGTTCCTCGCGAAGTTCTCAACCCGCGTATGGCCTGGGCAGACAAGGAGGCTTTTGAACGTGAGGTTCGCAAGCTTGCGGGCATGTTCCAAAAGGCGTTTAAGTTGTACGAAAGCGATGTGCAAGAAAGCGTGAGGTTGGCGGGCCCACGGGTGGACTAGAGACTAGGAGTAGAATCAGAGTTGCTTATAATTTATCATATACAAGCAGTCCGCTCGCCTGCGGACGGGATGGTTGATTTGTTATAGCAACAAACAATTGTAAGCAATGTCCGCGGTCTCTTTTTCCTCATTGGACGCGGACCACAACGATCTGATATCACGATGATTGCGTACTTACTCTCGATATTGCAGTGTATAGTTTCCCATGCGCAAAAACGTCTGTTCGAAGGTCGGGCACTGGACGTTGCAGTGTTAGGCCCTGCGACCCATTGAATGTCGTCGCGTATGCGGCCCGCAGTGGAAACTGTCTGCGGTTGACAGTCCAATTCGATCGTGAAGAACTGAAAGCGAAAATTATCCATGGAAGACAGTGAATTTCGCCTGTTGCAGG